GTGTGTGTGTATGTGTGTGTGTGTGTGTGTGTGTGTGTGTGTGTGTGTGTCCTCAGAGAGCGAGGGCTCCTTGGTGAGCTGCCCCAGGAGCAGACAGCACCCCACTATTGGAGGATGGGCAGTGGCCCCAGGACAGAACAGTCTGGTTTATGTTATGGATGGCTCAAGAAGTGAGATGCCCAGGCTCATGACCTCCTCCGAGGAACCACCTGCCCTCCGGCCTGCCTTCCAAGCTCAAGCTGCGGCTCCTCTCCGGCCAGGCCCGAGAGCCAAGCATGCACTCCCATCTCACAAGAGGCAAGGAGACCTAGGGCCCAAAGGAGCCTGGAGTGGGAGCCAGGCCACAGGCCAGGCCCATCTTTAGAGCAGAACAGGCCATCCGGGGACTGCTCCGTAGGCAGTGTCAGCGGCCGCCCTGGGGCTGGGCTACGGTACTCACCGGCCAGTGGCCCGTGCTTGTCGTTCAGGGCCTCGGACAGGTGCTTAACTCGGAAATCATGCTCGTGACCTAGCAAGATGTCAGCCGCACAAACACAAGCAGCGTTTATCCAGGGGCCAGGCGGCTGCCCCTTGGGGTGTGGGGAAGAAGCCCTTGATCTCCAGGAGCGGAGCATGAAATGGGGCACAGGGAGGGAGCACTGAGGAGGGCTCTGAGCCCTTCCCCTGCCCCAAACCCCGCTGGGAACAGCCGTTTCAAGCCTGACTCTCAGGGGTGCTAAAGACCATCCCTGGCGTTTGTTTTCCAACGCAGGGAGATGAAGAGAAGGTGCATGGCTCCAGGGAGACGCATGAGAGCTGTCACTGCTGAGTGAATGAGGACAGGCCTCCTTTGCATCCCAGGGTGACTCTTTTGGAGGGGGGTCCACCAACACAGCTGACCTGGCTATCCCTCCCCTGACAGCAGAGAAAGGCCACGTCCTCCAGGCAGCCTATCCCCTTAGATGCAAGAAGTTCCCTTTCTACAGAGAGGAGTGGCTGGGAGGTGTTGACCAACTTGGTCCTGCCCTGCTGATGCGGGCGTGAAAGGGCTGCCCCGAGACAATTTTCTCTGAGTTTACACAGGACACAGGACAGAGACAGGGAGGACGGACCTTAGGAAGAGCAGAGCCAGGCAGGACCAGGCCAGGGTCACAAAACTTGTCCTTGGGCCTGCTGAAACCTGAGGAGTATCAAGGGTTTGCCACCCCCACCCACCCACCCACTCAGGATTTGTCCCAAGGCCCTCCTGGGAGAGGCTCTGCCCCGCCTAAGGAGCGAGTGGACTCGCAAAGGAAGAGGGTGATGGGAAAGGGGCACAGGGTGATTACCTTCCAGAGGAATGAGGTTAGAGCCCCCCTTTTTCCCATCTAGACCATGCTGGGAATACTGTTTCAGAAGGTTCTGAGCCTTACGGATCGTCCCTGTCACCAGAGCCACAGAGAGGAGAGAGGAAGACCTAGGAAATGAGTGAGAGAAAACAGCAGCAGCCCTCCACCTGCCCAGCCCGCCCCCGCCCCAACAGCGAGCATGCCCCTCAACGCCTCTGCCGGTAGGTCCTGCCAGGGCCACCAGACCCCCTTAAGGATGGAGCGAGGAGAATGTGGCCAAACTCAGCCCTGGGCTCTGCACTGACCCTCAGTTCTGTAGTTGACTTCACGTTAAGAGGGACAGAAAAGACAAAAATAAGGTCATAAAGATCCATCAGGAAAAGTAAAACCTTCTACTGAGTGGCGTTTTAATGGAGTGGGTTAAGGCTTGGTGGCAAAGCTCTCACACTCAAGGGCAGGACAGGGCAACCTGGGGGTTTCCTGGAAACCAGCCTAACCTCCAGGCTGAGTTCCCTGAGCATGCTCAGTGTTGGGACAGAAGCCAAATAGCAGTGCAGGGGGGTTGGGGTTGGGAAAACAGGTCTAAGCTTCCCGGGGAGCTGCAACAGAGATGGAGGTCCCAACACCCAGAGGCAGAGGCCCCCACGCCCCAGAAGGCACTCAGCCAACATAGCAATGGTAATGGACTGAAAAGCTCGGGAAGGGCCAACGGGAACCACCACCTGCAAGGCGAGCCATGGTAAAGATGACATGCTCTTGCCATGGGGGAAAAAGAACAGTTAGTATCACAAGTGAGAACAATGAAATGTGGCAGCCCAGCTTTCAGGGCTGCCAGCTCCTGGGAGTAAGACATTTTGGAACCCACAATGCGGGGACAGAGGCAGCATGTCAGCCAGCAGGTACTGCTCCTAGGTAGCAAAATGTTCCAGGATAATGAGTCATCCAGGAGCTTAACTGTGCCATCTTCCTGAGACTCCCTCCATCACACGTGAGCCCAGCAAGGCTGCTGGCCTCACAGCAGCCACCAGCCTAGGCAGGCGGGGCAGGGTTCAGCTGGCTCATCTCTGTTTGCACCACACTGAAATTAGCTACTGCTAACTCTTCTTGGCAGGCCAGCTCACGTCTGCTGCCCTCCGTGTTCCCTGCTCAGTGAGCGAGCGCCTGGTAATGAGTGAATCAGATTGCCGCCCCACCACCTACCCAGGAGCAGATGGGCTGTGGGCTCATCAGGGACCTAACCGGCACACTGGCTGCGAGGAAGTGGGCATGCTGACCTGGGAGCAACCGAGTCCAATTATAAGGGCAGATGCTGAGGTTGGTGCCTCATCACCAATGAGGCCATCAGCTCTCCTGTCCTCAGAGTGGGGACAGACGTCCGGAGGGCCTGACTCTATCCTCCTCATCTCAGTCTTAAATCCACTCACCCCTGGCAACTCCTAACGCCCTACAGAACCACAGGGACCTCACAGACCTTTGCATCTCCATGACAAGGACAGATTGAGTTCATGGAGAGCCCTGAGGTTATATCCCTCATCCTGAAAGGCTAGGACCTGCAAGGCCAGTGGATACTGGGGCAGGGCAAACAGGGTTCTGGAGCCTCCAGTGGGCTTGTCGAAGAACCAGGAAGAAGAAGCAGCAGCGAGCACAGAGCAGCTGAAGCCCTGACAAGCTCATGGACACAGCTCCTCCCCGTACCAGGAAGGCACAGAGGTGGACTGGCCAGCCATGCAGGCAGCTGTGTCCAGCAGCGTGGGTTAGTAGAGTCACTGTTTAGAGCAAGCAGGACACTCACTGAAGGAAGGGCAGAAGCCAATGCAATTCCTGCAGAGGCCACCAAGCCCTGAAGGCAGTCTCCCTTGGCCATGTCTCCAAACCTCAGCAAAGGCTGAGGAAGCAGGTGATGTGGTTGCTCTCTGAAGGGCTTGGGTGGGTTAGGACTGGGAAATGAGGGTGTGAGCTCTACTCAAGGCCTGCTCTTAGGAAAGCACGTTCCTTAGCCAGGCCTGAGCTGCAGCCGGAAGCCCAGGGTGGGCACCTCACTCCAGCCCACTGGCTTTCTCTCCCGGCACTACTGCAGTAGCCAACATCCTAGAACATCCTATCTCTCCTGGGGCTGAGGTCAGCCTCTTTTGAGGCAGGGGACTGCCAGGCTGACAGAGACAGTCAGCCTGGAGCACAGACTATACAAACGTGAGGTCAGGAGGAATGTATAGTGGGCTAGAGTCTCACTGCCCACACCTACCTCTACACCATGCCCACTTTTCAGCTATGGAGCAGTTTATATTGATCTGGCTTTCTGGAAGGCTGGGGTGCCTGCCCCTCCTTACCCAACAGGATCACATAGCAAAGGGAAGGAGACCTAGCAAGTCACTCTGACCTATGGCCTCTGCCAGCCTGCCTCAGAGACAATTAAGCACACTAGTGGCCCTGCCCCTCCCATCCCCCAAACCTTATGGAAATTACCCAGCTGCTGGGTATAAGAATCATAGGGCCTTTTGAGTAGGGGATATTTGCTCTATCCTGTGTCCTAGGAGTCAGGTGACCATAGACATGGGCTATACTGCTGATATCAGAAGGCTGATATTGCCCACCCCAGGGTGGACAAAGACAACCCAGACTCCAGGGATCCCTCGGTCGGTTATTTAAATAGTCAGGGTGGACTCACCTGGCCGCTTGATGGGCTTCTTGGTAGGTGTGTCTTTCCTCTTGTTGGGGATGGCAGGGGAGTAGGGAACCCCAGAGGAAGAACTGCTTTTGCGAAAATGCTCCTTTAGGCCTTTGATGGAGCGGTCCAGCTGGCTGGAGCGAATCTGGTAGTACACATTCATGAAGTCTAGAGAGAGAGAGGAACAGAAGTGTGCCCCAGGGCCCCATGCCTGTGTCATTCTGTACAGGGAGGCAGCAGAGTCCATGATGCTACGGGTTAATCTCTTCCTAGCACCTGCTCTGGCTTCTAACCACTCACGTGGCCTCATCTCAAATCAGGAAAAGTCTCAAAGGGAAAGACTATCCTCCAACAGAATAATTACGAGGCTGGGGATCAAAGCTAGGAATCCAGTATGCCAGGCAAGTACTCTTCTACAGAGCTATACCCCCTTCCCTATCAGCCTGTGTTGGCACCATGTGGTTTTGTTGTTGTTGCTGCTGTTCTGTGTTAGGGGAGAGTGAGAGGTGTAGGTAGGTATAGGTACAGGCTGCTTTCCGAGAACCTGAGTTCAGTTCCTAGTACCCACGCCAGGTGGCTCACTAACACCTATAACTCTAGTCCCATGGAGATGACTCTCATCTGGCCTCTATGGGCAGGTGCATGCATTTGATATATACTCACATAGACACACAACATACATGTAAATAAAAGGGAAATAAATCTAAAAAAAAAAAAAAAAACAAAAACAAAGGCAATATTCAGACTTTGTCAAAAGATGTGAGCAATGGCTGGGTATGTTAGCACACACCCATAACCCCAGTACTTGGGAGGCAGAGGCAGGAGGATCTCTGTGAGTTTGTGGCTAGCCTGGTCTACAGAGTGAGTTCCAGGACAGCCAGAGCTTTATAGTGAGACCCTGTCACAAAAGAGAGAGAAGGCTGGGGAGGTGGTGGGAAAGCTGCCGCTCTGGCACAGGGAACCCCTCACCTTGGTTCCGGCCGTACTCCACCAGCCAGCGGGAGATGCGGACCACATCCTGGAGTACACTTTCAGGCAGGTGCTCCAGGGTCCCTTCTTCCTGGACCTCCAGTTCATCATCCCCACTGATCAGGTCCAGGATGAGCACAGGGGAGACGACCTTGCTGTGCCGGGTCATCAGACTGCGGAACTCAGACTCCAGCGACTCCTTCCCTCTCTCAAACAGCAGCTTCTGCGAGGACAAGGGAAGAAGCCGGCGGCTGAAGCGGGCGGCTGATGCTGAGCTCTGTTCTGCAGCCCCTGCCCGCTCCGCCCTCGGGCCTCTGTGAGCCTCAGCCACTCCTCCACCCACACAAGAAACACTGGGAAGCCTAGCCCGGTCATTTCCTTTCCTTCTGTTTCTCAGAAGCGATGGCTCCCGGTTGTGGTGGCGCACACCTTTGATCCCAGCACTCAAGCAGAGGCGGGTAGATCTCTGTGAGTTTGAGGCCAGCCAAGACAACACAGTGAGGCCCTGTCTAAAAATAAACAAAAAATACTTGATGTTGACAAGTAAAACTCTGCTTAACAAGCATTAATTTATTATTTTCTCATTTTCACTGTTAATTTGTCTTCTAGTTAGAAAGGAATTTGCAAAAGAAAAAAGCAGGTATTGATGTGCTGGCTGGTTTTATGTCAACTTGACACAAACCAGAGTCACGTGAGAGGAGGGAGCTTCAACTGAGAAAATGACTCCATAGATCTGGCTGTAGGCGATAGGGCATTTTCTTAATTCGTGATCGATGGGGGAGGGCCCAGCCCATTGTGGGCGATGCCATCCCTGGGTTGGTGGTCCTGGGTTCTATAAGAAAGCAGGCTGAGGAAGCCATGAGGAGCAAGCCAGTAAGCAGCACCCCTCCATGGCCTCTGCATCAGCCCTGCCTCCAGGTTCCTGCCCTGTTTGAGTTCCTGTTCTGACTTCCTTCAGTGATGGATTATGATGTGGAAGTGTAAGCCCAATAAACCCTTTCCTCCCCAAATTGTTTTGGTCATGATGTTTCATCACAGCAACAGAAACCCTAGGACAGTTGGATGATCTCAAATTAGTGTCAAGGGTTATCAATAAGAAAGTGAAAATAATGACTGAGAAAAGATTTACAAATCATGTATCGAAAACACAGAAGAGACTTCCAAACAAATGTCCACACTGAAATACAGACCCAAAGGTCAATACAGCATCATTCACAGGACAGGAAGTGGAGACAGCGCTAGTGGCCATCAAGAGGAAATGGCTAAACAGTGTGGGCCATCAGGTCGGCCAAGGCGGTTCAGTGGGTTTGGCATCTGCTGCTGGGTTTGGAAGCAGAAAGGCACCTCCTGCGACACACACCATCGCACAAGTGAGACGAATAAACACATTTCTTTTCTTTCTTTCTTTCTTTCTTTTTTTTTTTCTTTCTTTTTTTTTTTGTTTTTGGAGACAGGGTTTCTCTGTGTAGCTTTGCACCTTTCCTGGAACTCACTCTGTAGCCCAGGCTGGTCTCAAACTCACAGAGATCACCTGCCTCTGCCTCCTGACAGCTGGGATTAAAGGCGTGCGCCGCCCATAAACACATTTCTCTTTTTTTTTTTTCCAGAGCTGAGGACCGAACCCAGAGCCTTGCACTTGCTAGGCAAGCACTCTACCACTGAGCTAAATCCCCAACCCCCCATTTCCTAATATTGTATATCTATATCATTTAGCAATAAAAAGGTATGAAATACTGAATTGATACAGTATGCTGCAAATCGATGAACCTTAAAAATATTACACTAAGCCAGGCAGTGGTGGCACACACCTTATTCCCAGCACTCAGGGAGGCAGAGGCAGGCGGATCTCTGTGAGTTCTAGGACAGCCAGGACTACACAAAGAAACTCTGTCTTGAAAAAGAAAAAAGAAAAAAGATCAACAACAACAAAAACACACTACGATAAAACAAAAAAGCCAAGGCCTAGGAAGACAGGCCAGCTGGTAATCTGTTTGCTATGTAAGCATGAAAACCTAAACTCTATTCCTAGCGCCTACATGAAGAGAGAGGTCTGAGACTAGATGTGGTACTGAACACCTTTAATTCAGCACTTGAGAGACAGAACCAGGCAGCTCTCTACACAGTGTTTCTAAGAAAGTAAAGCCAAGACCACTGGCTAGTTACCAGCTCATCCCCCAGTATCACATAAATACCCTCATTTCTGACACAGGCTGTGACAGAAGGGAAGGGGGAGTCTGCTCCTAAGCAAAGGCCTGCTGGGGCTGGGGCTCTGTGGGAGACCAGGCTGGCGCTCTGTGGTAGACCAGGCTGGCGCTCTGTGGTAGGCTGGGGCTCTGTGGGAGACCATTTGTTTACTATGTGAGCACCCCTAGGTTCAATCCCCAGCACTACGTAAGCACACTGAAAACAAAACAAGAAAACAGCTGAGGAGAGAGGGGCAGGCACTTCCCAGCATGGAATGGCTCACAACTACCTGCAAGTCTAGTGCCAGGGAATGATCTGATGCCCCTTTTGGGAGGGCACCCGCATGCACACGGTGTACAGACATACAATTAGGCATACACACATATACATAAAATAATCAAATAAATTATTTTTAAAAGGTTAAAAACCAAGAAGGAATGTTACTGGCTAGGAAGCCAGCTCAGTGTTAGAGTGCATGCCTAGCGTGTGGAATGGATTTGATGCTTAGCACCCCCAACCTCCAAAAGGGGGACCAGCAACAGGATGAGGATGTAGGTTGGCCCTCCCCAAGTACCCCTTACTTCTTTAGGTATTGTGGTGATACTTCGAAATGTGGTAATGTTTTGTTTGTGCTCTAACAAATAAAGCCTGTCTGGAGATCAGAGGGCAGAGCTAGCCACCAGTTAACCATAGAGGCCAGGCCGTGGTGGCACACACCTTTAATCTCATTATTTGTGAGGAGGAAACAGAAAGTGATATGGCTGGACAGAGAGAGAAAGTGATAAGCCGGGGTGGAGACAGAAGCTTGCCCCCTTTCAGTCTGAGAATTCCTAGAGGTAAGAAGTCTTTCTAGTGGCTGGCTGTTCTGCTTCTCTGATCTTTCAGTTTTCACTCTGATATCTGACTCTGGGTTTTCATTATTAAGACCAATCAGAATTCGCACTACAAGACATGGCCTCTGCCCCACCTTTGCCCTGTGTACATCTTCCCTCACATACAGCAGAGAGCCCCCACTCCCAGCATTCCCCGTTTCTACGATGATCTAATGACCTAAAAAGTTAAACATACAAATACGATGCAGTAAGAGCACAAAGACTCAGGGTTCTAGACCTGTCAAATCCACAAACAGGAAGTAGAACAGAAGTTACTTAGATGCTGGAGGGAAGGGCACTGTTGTAGGAATTTAGCAGAGTCGCTGTATCTGGGGTAGACATTAGAATGAACAGCTGTTTTCTAGAAGTACTTTGACCTTGAAGAATCCTTGTGGAAAACAGTAAACAATCCTTGTGGAAAACAGTGACTGTTTTCCGGGATTTGTAGAAATGTTTTACTGAAGGGGCGTTGTAGCCATCCTGTGACTTTGGTCACAAGACGCCTCTGGCACACCTGAGGCTCTTGTATTATTGTGTATTGCAAATGATACATAATAAAGGACTAAAGTCTTGAGGGCATGTGATGCTTCCCTTTAGTAAGACATGTAAATTAGATTAGGGACCTTGGTATGAGGAAATACTTTGTGTAACATTCAATAAATACGCCTTTGTACAGCCGTTCAGGGTTCAGTCCATCAGAAAGGCTGGACGGACCTTCCTGCTGCCAAATAGGCCTTAGGATTTCAACTTGGAGTGACTTCTTCAACCGACACACGCTACACAGACGCCCCGAAGGGCATGCAGTGTTAAACAGCACAGAGCTGGGTTTCAGGAAGACGAAAAGATTCCAGAGACAGATTGGGGTCAGGACTGGGGTCACGGTGGGACGACAATGGGAACACACGTATGCCACCCAACTGTGTACTTACAAAGAGTCACAGTGGCAACACTAATGTTTTGGTTTGGGTTTTTGAGCCCTTGATGGCCTCACATTTACAGTAATCCTCCTGCCTCTGTCTCTCTAGTGCCAAGAATACAGGTATTTGTCATCACGCCTGGTGGAAATGGTCAATTTTATGTGATTTATTTGTTATTGTTGCTTTATGGCTTTGAGACAGGGTTTTGCTATGGAGCTTTGGCTAGCCTGGAATTCACTATGCAGCCCAATCTGGACTTATAGCAATCCTCCTGCCTCAACTTCCTGAGTGCTAGAATTATAGGTATGAGGCACCATGCTGGGTATAGGATGAGTTTTTTACCATAGTGAAGAAACCACCAATGGATATATGAAAATCAAATGTTAAACTTATATTTGAAATTTAACTAAACTATAAAAGTATGGTAAGAAGTTAGAGCTTTTTTCCCAAGGCATAGAACCTAATGCCTACATTTTGAATACTATGTATCATTATTTTTTTTTTTTTCTTTTTAAAAGACAGGGTTTCTCTGTGTAATCCTGGCTGTCCTGGAACTCAGAGATCCGCCTGCCTCTGCCTCACAAGTGCTGGGATTAAAGGTGTGCACCACCACTGCCTGGGGTATCTTATTCTTTTATATACTTTCTTAATATTTTGAGATAGGTTTCACAAGTTCTAGGCATGAGTCACCACACCTGGCTTCAACATACTTCTTTAAACTAGTCATGTGTCCCTCACGAGACTAGGGATTGATGTCCCATATGTCTCACTGATTCCTTACCACTTTGTTGAGCTCTGGACTGTCTGGGCTATTGTCCTGAAAATATTCCACAGCCTTCTGGATTTTGGCCATGCTTCCCAGGTATTCTTCCAGCCTACCTGTGGGGCTGGAAAGGAAAAAACATTGGATCAGCCTTGAAGGATGGGGTCACACAGATGGACTAAGAGCACGGTATGCCGGAGGAGAAGAGAAAGAACATCATATGAGGGACTCTAGGCTCAGATATGTTTTATTCCCCTTCTGAGGCCTAGAGTCACTGGTCCAGGAGACATTAGTTATGTGGCCCTCTGCATGCAACTCACCCTTCTCTGATGACCTTCTCAGTGTCACTGGCTACATGGTAATAGCTGATGACATGGTCCAGACAGGATAACGTCTTTTCGACATTCTCCTGCAGCCTCTGCAGATTCTCCGTTTGCTTGTGCACAGGGATGATGGAGTTCTCCAGCTTCATGAGACGGCTCTCAAAGGATGACAGGATAGACACCTGCAGGAGGAAAGCTTCTGGCTTGCAGGTCTCAGGGCTATCCTGGCATCTATCTTTTCGTGGTTTTCTAGACAATAAGCTACATCTAGGAAGGAACACAGCTGACTTATTTGCTGCCACCGTGTCCCTGGTTTGGTACAGCGAGTGTGATTCAAGATAAACTGTTGAAATGTCATCTTTTTTAAAATTTATTTATTTTTATGTACATTAATTTCTTTTTTTTCCCCCTGCATGAGTTACAGCCAGTTGTAAGCTGACATTTGGGTGCTGGAAATAGAACCTGGGTCCTCTGGAAGAGCAGGTGGTTCTTGTCTTAAGGCAAGAAAAACATCAAACTAATTCTTCCTAAGATAACCACCCCCAGGGAGCTGGAGAGATAGCTCAGTGGTTGAGAGCACTTGCTGCTCTTGCAGAGGACTCGAGTTCTGGTCCCAGAACCCACATCACTGCTCACAACTTAACTGCCTTCAACTCCAGTTCCAGAGGGTCCAACGCCCTCTTCTGGCCTCTGAAGGCATTCTTTTCTACCCTTAAAGCCCAGTCTCAATTTCTGTTCTCTCTGAAGTTTTCCTAGACGTAACAGGAAGTAGCTTCATGAAGAGAAGTCTCAAATGCATGGCTATTACTTTAAAAACTGCTTTCCCTGCCTGGTGGTGGTATCATACATCTTTATTCCCAGCTCTCAGGAGGCAGAGGCAGGTGGATCTCTGTGAGTTCGAGGCCATCCTGGTCTACAGAATGAGTTCCAGGAAAGAGGCCAAAGCTACACAGAGAAACCCTGTCTTGAAAAAACAAAAGGGGGGGGGCACCCGCTTTCCCTAAGGGTGAATCTCATTTAAGAAGTATACAATTTATTATTGTGTGACTAAACACAAATGCAATTTTATATTTACTCAATTTGTGTTCCAGTTTCCTCTAAGAATAAAGAAGCAAGCCGAGTGGTGGCGGCACATGCCATTAATCCCAGTACTGGGGTGGCAGAGGCAGGCAGATCTCTGAGTTCAAGGGCAGTCTGGTCTACAAATTGAGTTTCAGGACAGGGCTGCACAGAGAAACCCGTCTCGGGGAGAAAAAAAAAAAAGCATTTTTAAAGCACCAATCATATACCAGTGTGCAGCATGCATCGCCTCATAGACCCCTTCGCAGACACACTGTCGTCTGTTTTAGCAAACGAGTTAGCCAAACTCAGGTCTTGCCTGCCAAGAATCACATAAATAAGCTGTGGGACAAGGGGCTAAATCTAAGATCCATCGGCTCTCTGAGCTGGAAAACCCTTTGGGACTTCGCTGTCTCGGTAATCTCACTGAACCAACCTTCCCGGAGAGCGTCCGTCCCTTGACTTGACAATGACTGGGGCCCAGTACCCGCCCATCTGCGGAGTATCACTAAATGTTTGCAGAAGGACAGACAGCAACAAGTCCAGACCAGCGGTATCTGCGGTGAGGAGGCGGAGACTAGGGAGCAGAGATGCCCATCGCCGCTACAGAAGCCCACACGTCACCACCGTTGCTACCCACGCTGGACTCAGTCGCCGGGCCCGTCCGTCACAAGCCTGCTCTGGGTCCCGGGGCCTGTCTGCGGGCTTCCATGAAGGGCTACTCACCATGTTCTTAGTGAGCTGGTCGCTCTTCTCCAGGCTGTCTCGGATGAAGGACAGCGTCTCCTCCTCCTGCGAGGGGTGGAGAGGAGACCATCACCACCGCCCGACCCCACGGCCTACCCTCACTTCTCCTTCCGCCCCGCAGTCGATGCCCTGGCACCCTTCCTTCACTTTCTACCCTGCCTCACCTTCTTCAGTTTGTCCTCGATTTCCCGCCGCCGGGCGGAAGCCTCCTGCGGGGGAATCATCGCAGCGGACAGCGAGGCTCCCACTGCCCCCTGACTTCGCTCAGAGCCCCGCTCGGCTTCCGTCCCTGTCACACCCACTTCCGCCATCGGTCCCGCCCCCGGACGCTCTGGTGGCGCCATGTTGGGAGTGGCAGGCGGAACTCGAGAATGGGCTGCGGGCTGAAGCCATCTTGAGTGTGCCTGGGATCGCGGCTCTCCTGGGGTTTAGAACTTTCCCCTGAAGTCTGAAGGTGCTCTGCTGGCTTCTTTGAAAGACAGACTCTTGCTGGAAGTGCTGGCTCCCAACACTGGGAGACTGAGGCAGGAGGTCATTCACGAATTCGAAGCCAGTTTGGGTTAAGTAGTAAATTTCAGGCAAGCCTAGGCTACAGAGTCAGACTGTCCCCAAACCAAAAAGCAAGCAAACAAAAAATACACCTGATTTATTTATTTGAGACAGTTTCTCTGTAGTTTTGACTGTCTATGTAGACCAGGATGGCCTCTGCCTACCGAGTGGAGAGGAGGACATCATGGATTAAAGGTGTGCACCACCACACCCAGCTCTCCTGATTAAAAAAAAAAAAAGTTTAAGACATTTGTTTTTGTGTTTATGTGTGAGCGTGCACATGCTGTGGAGTCGGTTCTGTCCTCACGTGTGGGTCCCAGAGGGATTGAATTCAGGTGTCAATCTTGGTGGCAAGTGCCTAAATATATTGAGCAGTCTCACTAGCCCATGGTTTATTTACGTATTCTTTTTTTATTGTGTATGAGTGTCTTGCCTACATGTACAGTCACTTGTGCGCCTGGTACCCTGGAAGGCCAGAAGAGGGTGTCTGATCCCCCTGGAACTGGAGTTACAGACAGTTGTGAGCTGTCAGGTGGGTGCTGGGAACTAAACTCCTAGGAGAGCACTTTGTGATCTTAACTGCTGAGCCCCCTTTCCAGCTTGCCAGGCCCTGATTTGTGATAAAAGCTTTGGATGAGGTGACGGATTTGTTTCCCCAGATCACTTGTCAAGGATCCTGTCTCTGAGACTGGATTCCACACGGAGTAGCTCACAGTGGACACCTGCCAGCCATTGGCTCCTCTGGTGAACCAGGAGCTTTGGGATCTGCCCTTTGGCTCTTGTTTTGGGACTGAGCAGGTCTGTGTGCCTGCAGAGCTAATGCTCTCCTCTCCAGAGCTGCTGGTCTTTGGCTCTTCCAACCTCAACTTCGGGGGCCCTGGAGAAGGTGAAGTCAGGGGATCAAGGCCCCTGTGGAGCTGGATCCGAACCAGTTCTTGCAAAACCTTCTATTACCCCTCCCTTCCCAGCTGCACTTTCTTTGGCCCTGTTAGTGGTGTGTGTGTGACATTTTTTGTTGGTGTCTGTGAGTCAGGCATCCACATCTGGGAAAATAATCAATTAGGCATGTGCTAAGGCTGAGAAGGTTCTGAAGTGCGAATCTCCCTAACAAAAGAAAACAAAAAACAAAACAAAGGGAACGGGCCACCACTCTGGCAAGGGCATGTCTTCTGCTGGGACAGGAGGACAATTTTAGGCCTCCTCAGTCACCACTGTGAAGGTGATGAACTACCCAGGAGGTATAGCAGTGAGAGAAATCAAAAGGCAGTTAGTTCCCGTGTGCGGATGCCCAGGACAATTTCAGCAGGATGATCCTTGGGCAGTCTGAGAACGGTGTGCGTGTGCGTGCGTATGTGCGTGCGTGGTGGGTGAGGAGATAATATATTTAGGAACAGAGAAAGAGGACGGGAGGGCTAGTGGGCCGTGGGAGGCGTAGCTTACTGGAGTACTGCTTACTCTCTGAACCCCTGAACAGAACCTATGGGAAAATACTGATGACATTGCCCCTTGGGTCTCAGAAAGGAACCTTTTATATTTGTCAACTAATAAATGTTCCAAGCTTTATACAATATCATCGGCTTTCTTTTGTGTGCATAAAGAAACTGGAGATGTAGCTCGGCTGCGGAGTGCTTTTGGAGTATGCAGGAAGCCCAGAGTTTGATCCCCAGCACTGCCTCGAATCCTAGAACTTGAAAGGTGGAGGCAAGAGGCTCAGGAGTTCAAGGTCAGGACTGGGGAGTTGCCTCAGTCCAGTTGGGAAAGTACTTGTCACTCAAAGTGTGAAGACCTGAGTTTCATCCCCCGTACCCACAGAAAAAGCTGGCCATGGTGGTATAAGGCCTTAAAACCCCATGCTGGGGAGAGGGAGACAGGTGGGTCCCTAGGGCTCCCTGGCTGGCCAGGGGCCAGGGCAGTGTAATCAGTGAACCCCGGATACCAGTGAGAACCAGTGTACACACACACACACACACACACACACACACACACACACACACACATGCATGAAGTTCAAGGTCATCCTTGTCAACATAGCCTGGGATATGAGTCCCTACCTCAAATTAAATAAATACTCACTTTGGACCTAACTTAACCCCACAAGAAGGATGCACGGGCCTTTCTGCATGTTTTTCAAATGCCCTGGATGTCTCAGTGTAATTTGGCAGCTAACTGCCAAGCCCTGAGAGCCCTCTGTTTGCACATCCGTCTTACAAACACCAGCCTTGCATTATCTCTTGTAATCCTGAGGGCACACTAGGAGTCAGGACCAGCTGTTGTCTCCCTCTTGAGGCAGAGGAAGAAGCACTGGCTCCTTAGGCTGTCCTGAGTCAACACAGCTGGCTCCAGGAGGGGGCAGCTGAGGCGGAGGCGCTACTCGCCAGCTAGATAGCTCAGGAGTTTGATCGCTAGCCCGCAGCACAGCCAACCTGACTTTCAAGGAAGTCCGTTATGAAAAGCAGGTTATGTTTATGATAACTGTAACCACTGAAAAGCGGACAGAATTAGAAGAGAGGTTAAATTACTCTCACTCCAATGCCTGGCATGTATTGACAAGTAAACATTGATTCAGTAAGACTTGTAAATCTTCAATCATATTCAACCCAAAGCAAGCTATGCAAAGATGCCAATCAAAGCCCAGTGCCCTACTGGCCACTCACAGAGTCTCTTCCTGGAGGGAGGATGGCCTGGAAGAAGAGAGGAAGGAGTAGGGGGCTCCTCCGGCTGTGGTGTGTTCTTAACTTCCTAATTCTAGGCTTTGTGTGTGTGTGCGCGCGCGCGCGCACGCGCACACACACACACACACACACACACACACACACACACACACACACACACACCGGGAATCAACTGTGCAGTTTCTCCAAATTAAATGTTTCCTCGCCCTGTAGCAAAAATAAAAATGCATATATATTTAAATAATAAGAGATAGTCTCACTCTGTTGCTCTGGCAGACCTGGAACTCACTAAGTAGACCAGGCTGGCCTAACACACACACACACACACACTCACGCACGCGCGGACACACACATTTTAAAAAGCTTGTAGCCAGGCAGCGGTGGCACATGCCTTTAATCCCAGCACTCAGGAGGCAGAGGCAGGTGGATCTCTGTGAGTTCGAGGCCAGCCTGGTCTACAGAGTGAGTTCCAGGTCAGGCACCAAAACTACACAGAGAAACCCTGTCTCGAAAAACCAAAAAATAAAAATAAAAAAGCCTGAAGGTAAATTATATGTCGTGTGTTTTTCTTCATTTAAAAGCAAGTCTGACCATCTTGTTTATTACTCATATTTTTCTGTGAAATAATGTTTTTTGTCCCTTTTCTATAATGCTATTCATATTTTCTTGTTGGTGTTCAGAATTCTTTAGATATTAAAGATGTTAGTCACTACTTAGAGGAAAACTTTTCTCCTTCTGTGTGGCTGTTCTTTGTTCCGGGTATTTTTTTCCCTGCTAGAGTGTTAGATGTTTAAGATTTATTTATTTGTGTGAGTGTATTTCGGTGTGTGGGGGTGGATGGGTACAGTCTCCTCAGAGGCTTGAGAGAGCATCCCTTTGATGTTTGTGTGTGACAGGCTCTCACTGTGTAATCCTGGCTGGCCTAAAACCACTTTGTAGCTTAGGCTGGCTTCAAACTCACAGAGCTCTACAATCTCTGCCTGTGCTGGGACTGAGGTGTGTAATGTACTACCACCTTCAACTTGGCCCATCCCTTTGAAGCAGGGTCTTACCCTAGATCAGGGATTTGCATTTTCTTGACTAGACTGGAAGCCAGAAAGTTCCAGTGACCCTCTGCCTCTGTTCCTCTCTGAAGCTGGGGTTATAGGTGTAGTAATGATGCCCGCTTGTAATGTGGCTGCTGGGATCCAAACTCTGGTCTTCAGGACTGCACAAGTGCTCTTAGGCACTGAGACATCGCTCCGGCCCTTAATTTTATTTATCCATATTTGTGAGATTTTTAAAATGCAGAACCTCATGTAGTCCAGGTTGAAACTCCAACTTACTGTGTAGCCAAGAATGACCTTGAATTCCTGTTCCTCCTGCCTCCACCTCCCAGTGCTAGGATTGCAGAGGAGCCACCATACCTGGTTTCTAGTATTTTCTTTCCAATGCTTACATCATTGAACTATCTGAATTTTCTCCCTGGTGGAAATCCAATTGCTCCAGTACCATTTTCCTCAGGAATTCATGATCACCTGTGATTCAAAATGTTACCTATAGCATGAATTAAGTCCTCAGAGGTATCTGGACCTTTTCCTGGGATTTGCTTTTACACTCGGGACAAGCACCAGCAAGAAACCCGACAGACTAACACAGCTTGAGAACTGAGTTATACATCTAACATTAGCCGGAAGAGCCTTCCTTGGACTTTCGTTTCCCAAAAACACAACTTCCTAGATTTTATTCTTGTTTTGTTTTGTTTGAGACAGGGTTTCTTTGTATAACAGCCCTGGCTGTCCTGGAACTCACTTTGTAGACCAGGCTGGCCTCAAACTCACTGAGATCTGCCTGCCTCTGCCTCCTGAGTAGTGAAATTAAAGGCGTGCGCCACCACTGCTGGACTAGATTTCATTCTTTTTTTTTTTTTTTTTTTTTTGAGGTGCATTTTGTTTTGTTTTATGTTTCTTTGATGACAAAAGATATGTAGCTCAGACTGGACCCAAACTAGAGATCCTCCTGCCTCAGATTTGAAATCGCTGGGATTACAGGTGTGCACTGGCTTGTCAGGTGCACTTTGAACTT